AGACGGTCTGTGATCGCAGACCCGGCTGGGCCGGGTCCGGCCGATGCTCAGCTGCGGGTCAAGCTCAGCCCCAGGGCCGCACTCCCCGCCGCTCCCCGGGGCTCCAGTCTTTTCCTCCTGCCCATAGCCAGTCTGCAGAGACCCCCCCTTCCACCGAGAGGGTCCTGGGGGGTGCTCAGCGCCCGGGTCAGGCCTTGCCGGCCCAGGAGGTGTTTTTTCCGCCCCGTATCACATAACGCACGGCTTGATGTCCTGGTATGTCACTTGTTGGTGGTAATAGGAGCCGCTGCCCGCCGAATGCATGGAAGAGGAGGCCATGGCGTTGAAAGAGAAGACGAATTCCTTTCTGTCACACATGCTCGGAGACTGGGAGTGATACCGCGGGATGCCTGCGGGACGGGGGGAAAGATGGTCAGCAGCCGCCGTCTGGGGTTGAAAAATAACCCCCAACAACCCAATCCCTCCGCACCCCCCAGTCTGAGCGCGAAACTGGGAGTATTTTCCCATGCACGGGCACTATTGGGGCTCCGCGGGCGCGGGCAGGTGGGCAGGGGGGACTCCCGAGGCCCTGCGAAGGCGCTTCCCTGCCCGGCCCAAGGGTGCTGCGAGGAGAAGGGATTTCAGCTGAGTTTAGGGTTTTTTTGACATTTTATATTTTTTTTCGCCCCGACTGCTTTTCCCACCGCCTCCGCCCGCGCGGAATACCCGCCGGGTGCGGAGAGGGGAAAGCCCGTCCGTTCCCGGGGCCGGCGGCGGAGACCGGGAGGGGGGCCGGGGCCGAGAGGCCACGGGGAGCGGGGCTGTTCCTGCCGCTCCTTCCGCCACCTCGGCACAGAAAAGCGCCCCTGGAATTCGGGGTGCGCTGGGGATGGGGTGCCCTGCCCGGACCACTCCCCATCGCCCGTTTGGGTGTTAATCGGAGTGTTTCGTTTTAAGGCCTCGGATGGGCCCGGTGGCTCCTCGGGGCAGATTCCAGCTCCGTTTTCCAGAGGCCTTGGGCGCGCTGAGCACCGTGAACACACCCGGGAGTGGAGGGTGCCCTTAGCGGGCGCTGCCCCAGCCCAACCCCGCTCGGGGCTCTGTCCGGGCTCCACCGCTCCGGCCCGGCCCGACTCATGTTTTTCCTCTGCTTCGCTTGGTGATTTTGACCCGCTAATGGTCCGCTTCACACCCGTTTCTGTCAGGTACATCCCACTCCCCTGAAAGGCCCGGGGTGATGTGCAGAGCCCCCCAGATCTGCCCGATCACCCGGTCATGGCTCCCGGGGCTCCCCAGTGCCTGAGAGTCCCCCATCCACCCCATCCCGAGGTGAATTTGGGCCGCAGGGCGAAGCCTAGAGCTGGCCTCGTCCTTCCCAAGGCCTCTTCCAGGCCAAAACACGATCTCCCTTCCAAGACCCAGGGCAAATTCACCCCCGTCAGCTCCATTGCGGGGCCAGGGATAAGGCTACAGGGCGCGGGGAACTCGGGGGATCTGGGCCGCCTGCTTTGGTATGGGCGGAGGGAGCCGATGGGCCTGGAAAATACAGCCCTGAGATGTGTGGAAAACAGCTGATGGCGGGGGACGGGAACGGACGGGACGGGGTGTGGGACGGCGCGAGTGGCGGACCCCCCCGATGAGGACATTCCCCCTTTTCTCCCTCCGGAGTCCTCTAAGTCCCGATGGAGGTGGAAGAACCCTCGGGCGCATACCCGGCCTCGCCTTCCCGGAGCTCCCGCCTGCCTGAACCCACCGGCCTTAGGCCTAGAGGCAAAGCAGCCGTCCGGGGGAGCGGAGCCCTGGCCCGGGGGAGCGGAGCCCCGGCCCGGGGGAGCGGAGCCTCGGCCCAGCGGTTCCCGGCCCCGCAGCGGCGAAGAGCCCCGACGGTTGCCCGGTTGTCCCCAGGAAGGGAGGCGAGGAGCGAGGGCACAGCGGCTCTCCCTCGGGAAGCGCATTAAAACTGCCCACGAAGCAGGATCCCCGCTCGGAGCAGCCCGACCGGGATCCACGCATGGTCGGCAGTCCCCGGTCCCGGGCGTGTCCCACGCGTGTCCGCGCCTTACCTTGGAGGTCGGCGGTGTTGTGGCTGTTCTGGTGCAGGTAGGGCTGGTCGAGGGAGTGCGTGGAGAGGCTGGAGGAGAGCGGGTTGGCTGTGGGGTTGCAGGGCGAGAGAGGCTGCTGTTTGATGTAGGACGCGCCGGTGTTGAGGGCCGCCGAGGCGGTGGGTGCCCACGCCGAGGCCGAGCTGGAGTAAACCGAGTGGGGCTCCATCACGCCGCCGGCGGGGAGCAGCGGGGAGGCGGGCACGGAGCTGTCGTGGTGCGGGTATTCCCCTGCCGAGGAGCCGGTGCAGCCGCCCATGTAGGTGTGCCCACCGTTGGCAGGCAGGTGGGGCACGGAGTGTCCCGCCAGGCCCATTCCCTCCACGTTGCTGGACAAATGCCCGTTCATCATCCCCAAGCCCCCTTCGAGGGAGAGGCTGTTGGGGGGGCAGGAGAGCCCGCTAGCCGGGCTCTGGAAGCCGTAGCTGTCGGGGAGGTGGTTGAAGCTGAGCCCGTTCATCATGCTGTACATGGGCTTCAGCGCCTGGCATTTCCTCCGGAACCCGCGGGGCCGGCGGCGGAACGAGCCCTCCTCGAACATGAACTCGCTGGCCGGGTCGATGGTCCAGTAGTGGCCCTTGCCGGGGCGTCCCAGCCCTTTGGGCAGCTTGATGAAGCACTCGTTGAGCGAGAGGTTGTGGCGCACCGAGTTTTTCCAGCCCTGGTAGGAGCCTCGGAAGAAAGGGAAGCGGCTCTGCAAGAACTGGTAGATCTCGCTGAGGGTCAGGCGCTTGGAGGGAGAGCTCTGGATAGCCATGACGATGAGGGCGATGTAGGAATAAGGCGGTTTCTCCGGCCGCCGGATCCCCGCGTTGGTCTTCTTCGCCTTAGGGCCGGCGCTGCCCGGGGCCCCGCCGCTGCCCGGGGCGCTGCCGGCGGCCCCGCCGGTCCCCGCCGACGCGGTGTCCATGGCCGAGCTCTGCGGCTGCTTCTCAGCCACCGAGGACATGGGGCCGTAGCTGCTCTGCACCGGAGGAGGAGGGGGCTGAGAGGACAGAGCCTGCTGCGCTTCTGCAGTCATCTACGGCCAGGTCCGCGGCGGCCAGCCCCAGCCCCGGACCTCCTCCGCCGCCCCCCCAGCGCCCCCCCAAAAGGCCACGCTGCTGGGGGCTCGCCGCCACTCACCCACCACCCTCCCTCCGGCCTCCTCCCGGCCCCCCGGCGGGGTTTTCTTTCCACCGGGAGACTTCACCCCTCCGCGGATAAACAAATGGAAGCGACGACACCCCCCACCCCCCCTTTTCACTCCTCCTCCCACTTTATCCCTAAATCCGAGCGCGGCTGCAGAAGGCGAGCGAGAGGCGGAGGGTCGGGGGGTGGCCGCAGGGAGGCGGGATGGGTGGAAGCGATCTGAGCTGGGCTGCTGCGAGCCAGGAGCCGGCGGCCGCCGCCTCCGCCTGCCCCGCTCCCCTCGGCGGGCCGGGCTCCCGGGGCCGCCGCCGTCCCTCCGCCGGCTCTAGCTGGGCTGGCGCTGCCGGTGCTGCGCGGAGCTGCTTCCCATCGCCGTGGCTGTCGAGTCTGCCTCCGGCCCCGCCGCTCGCCTTCTACTTTATCTCTTTGCAGCGGCGTCTGCCGCTCCTTGACAGACGTAAGCGCGGAGCGGAGATCCCCGCCCCGGCCCGCTCCCCCCCGCCCTCCCGGGCGGCCCCTCCGCCGCCTCGTCCCGGCCCCCTCCGCTCCCGCTCCCCGCTGGCGGGCAGCTTTTAAAGAGCCCTTTCCATGCCGCCCTACCCCACTCGGGGGGGCTTGCGCGACAACCCCCTGCCCGACGCGGGGGCACCGCGTGTGTGTGTGTTTTATGCCACAAGTGACCGCGACGCTACGTGGGGCTCCTCCACCCCCTCCCTACCCGCCTTCCCACTGCTGAAAACCACGGGAAGGGCCCCACGAGGGCCGTGGAAGGGGCCGGGGCCCACGGAGGTTCCGCGCGTGGCGTGGGGCAGCGGAGGAGTTGCCCGGCCTCCAGCTTCGCGCTGCGCGGAGCTTCACCCACTTCAAACCCCCTCTCCGTGAGCTCTTTTAAGCTCGGCGGGCCCGGGCAGGATGTTTATACTGCGCAATGTAAACACGGGCTCGGGGGTGCTTTAATAAAAAGAAATCGGCGAAAACTCCCGCTGCCTCGAGAAATGCCCTTTTCTGCCTCCACCGCCGCTCCGAGGCCGGGAACGGGCTTCGGACCCCTCACCTGCTCCGAGGCTGCTTTAGGGATGAGGGTGGGTTGTTTTGTTTTGGGTTGCTTTGGGGTTTTTTCGGGGGGTGTATATAAATCTGTGCCGCAGTTCCGCAGTTGAATGCCCGGAGCCTTATGCTCAGCTCCGGCGGTGCCACGGGCGCACATAGCGGGCGGGGGGAGGGAGAATAGATAGGCAGAGGGGTAGAGACCCCCTTTTCTCCCTCCCCTCCCCCCCAGAAAGCCTCCTTTCTGAGCATCGTGCCTTCGGGAGAGCTGTCACTCGAGGTAAGTCGCTTGAAACCTTTGTCACCTTCTTGCGGACTGTGCGTGGAAAGCTGCGCTGCGGGGGTGTGGGATTGTGGGTGGGCACGGGGGAAGGAGCCTGAGCTTTCAGGGCTGCTGGTGTGTTGGCTGCTGCAGTGAGCTCCCTTCCGCGACTGGGGAAAGGAAGAGAGAAAGGAAGGGGGGAAAAAAATACACCCCACCACAAACCACTTGCAGGCCTCGCCGCAGTGCTGTGGGTGCATCCTGCTGCACCCCCAGCAGAGAGAGGGGGGATACCCCCCTCCCTAAGCCCCCCTTCTACCAGATTCGCTTTTCAAGTTTTTAATGATAATTTAATGCCTTTTAAAGGAAAGATAGATACCGATCGAGTTTCCAAACTCCCTCCGCGTTATTGGCGAGCAGTTGTGAGCAGCCTCCGGGGCGCCTGTCACATCTGTGGTACAACCAAGAGGGATTTCACATCGGGGTTGTCGTTGGCTTTTTTTCCGTCTATCCTCCCTCTTCCCCTCCTTTGCCCCCTCTCCGCCAAAAAAAAAAAAAAAAGTCCTCCTGCAGAAAGCACCGGCCCTCTCGTTCCCGGTGCGATGGGATGGGGACAGGCACGGGAGAGCCCTGGGGAAAGCCCAGGCCGGGGGCAGGTAGCCAGGGAGGGGGTGGGAGAAGGTTGGGACAGTTATTTCTAGAGCTTTTCCCTTGAGGAGGAGGAAGAGGACGACGAGCAGCTCCGGCTGTCCGGGAAGGCGGCGGCCGCTGCTCCTCCCGCTGCTCCTCCCGCGGAGCAGAGCGACTGCTCGGGAAGGGGGACAATCACCAAAAAAAATCGCTTTTTTGGAAAGCGATCACCGTCCCCGGTGTTTACAGCCCCCAGGCGGCTAGTGCAGAATAACCTCGCCGCTTCTTGCTGCATTTCTTTTTATTTTTGCCGTGGGAGAGCATCCCCGACCCGGAGCTTTGCTCCGCATCGAATGTCTCCCCCCGGATCGCGAAAGGGGTGTTTTTCTTTGTTTTATGTAATTCTGAGACTGAATCTCCACGATCTGTCCCCGAAACACCCGGGGATGGAGCTCGAAACACACTAGGAGCTCGTGGAAAAGCCACGGTTCAAAACCGTCCCCAACGGCAGCGTTTCCACTAGGAAAAAAAATATCTCAGGGTGAAAAAAAACCCAAAACTCTCTGTGTAAATCAAACTATTTCCATTCAACGAAAATCAGTTCCTTCTCGATTGCCCTTTCCCCCTCTCGCAGTATCTTTCAGGAATGTGAAGATTTTGTTTCCGATGTATTTATTAAAGCGAGCCAATGTTAAAAGAGGGAATATATAGCTCTGGGTCCTATAGGCCTCGTCGTGGGAATAGCAGAAAGGTTGGAGGGTTTTAACCCAAGCCTGAGAGTTGGGGAAAGGAGAATTTTGGGGGAGAAAAGCCCGGTCGTGGCTGGTGTGGGAGGAGGAGGATGGTGTGTGGAGGACCGGGATCCGCTTTTGGTGTCGTTTGCTGGTGGTTTGGGTGGGTGAAGCGTGTCCTCCTCCAGTCGTCGACTGGGAGAGATGGAAAGAAAGGAGAAAAAGAAGAAAATACAAAAATTAAGCCATCATCTGGCGTAATTAGCCTTTCTAATCCCGTTTGGATCCCGTTTTACCGGTCCCGCGAACACCCCCCGGCCCCGCTGCACTTCCCAACCGGCTGCTTCCCAAACCCGCTCCCCTTCCTTCCCCCTCCCCGAAACTCGGTCCGTGTTTTGTGTAAAAATAGACAAATCCGAGCTTTCTTCCTTTTCCTGCGCCGAAGGTATTTTTACTAGCTAATTGCTTAAGTGAAGTCAACTTTGCAAGCAGGCCGGGTGTAATCCGAGTATGGAAATGTATATAGGTGGTATTGTTAGAGGCGGGCTGGGTGCTGCTCCGAGAGGGGCCGGGGTGTTCCTGCGAGCCCGGACCACCCAGGGCGAGGGGAGTGACCGCCTCATGTCCCCCTCCCCGCTGCCCTGCTTTGCATTAACACCACTCGCAAGACAGCCCCCCCTTCTTCCCCAGCACCAGCCTGTTTCGCTCGGCTGGTTGGGGTTTTTTTCGGTCTCGTCCATCCCCGTGGCCGCCGGCCCCAAATCCGCGGCGAATCGATCCCTAAATGTTTATTTAAAGGCGAGGGGGCGCGTTCAAGCGAGGGGCTCGAGGCTGGGGAGAGGGGCACTGGGGGGAAGGTGGAAGCACCGAGGGAGAGGTTGTTTTTAGGGACACACACGCACCCCCAATCATTTTTTGTGGGTCCATCCCACACGGCAGCGCTTTGCTCCACGCGTGTGCGAGTGCCCGATCGTGGACGGGCCCTTTCCAGTGGTACCCACAGCCCAGCCTCGGGCCCTCGCATCCCTGGAGGCAGAGCCCGGCCTCCAGGATCGAACGGGACCTGGAGGAGATTTTGGCAAAGCAGAAGCCAAAATTGGGAGCGGGTGCGCAGCTAAGCTGCCGAAGAGCCTCAGGCAGCTGCGGAGAGGTGCGGTCTGGCTGTCACCGCCGCGCCTCAGGCAGGAGTTCAGGCTTTGGTCAGAAAGGAAAAAAAAAAAAAGGAAAATCTTAATCCCCCCTTTTTGTCTCCCTTTTCCCCCCTCTGCCCGTCCCGAGACTCCCCCCTTCAAGCCCAGATTTTCCGTGACGTCCTTCGATGAAATATTGCAGCACAGGAATTTACAGCCTTCTTCAGAGCAGGATTTTTTTTTCTTTGGAGTTTTCTGGCAGGACCTAGTCCCTGCAATACAAATCGGTTCCAGCGATAATAAGCTCCGAGCGCTACCACTTTAGACACAATCGCTTCCCACAGAGATCTTCCAAATATCTCCGGGTATTTATATCCCTGCTCAGGGACGGATAGCTAGAATACTTTCCCGGGGGGGGATGCTTTGGACTGGCTGGGATTCAGACCCGAGGACCTGGGTACCGAGAGAAACAGCAGGGCTGAGCCGCAGAAGAGCTGGGACCCGGCGCGTGATGCTCCCGGCCATCCTTCAGCGAACAAGTTCGCCCCTAAAGACAGCCCGAATTGGAAATCCAGGTGTAAATTCAGGTGTAAATCCAATCTGGCATTGCTGAGACATCCATACTTTCTTGGAAAGTTTTCTTCCCTGGGGGCCCGGTGCTGGGGATGCTCCCAAAGCAAACAGGACCCTTGGGAAGGGATAACCCCTCTCCCAGCAACTTGACACAGCAGTGGCATCCAAACAAAACGAGTAGCCACTACCAGCTTTCCTAGCCCCAAATTCCATCGGGTAAAATTGTGACAGCGGTTTCGGAGAACCATTTCGATCCGCTGAGCTTTTTTCGGATCGGGAACCACCTCCAGTCCCCGGTGGCTGCCGATGTGAAAAACCCGGCCGGGCCGAGCCGGGTCGGGGGGTCCCCACCAAACGGGGAGAACAAGAGGCTTCCCCGGGGCTCAGTCTTATTTCCAGCCTTATGAAACTTTTCTTTTTCATTGTTTTCTTCCCAACTTTAGACCAAAACCCCATCGAAATCGCATCAATGTGCCGGTGATAGTGGAGGGGGGAATTTTTAGCGTCGAGCAGACGA